AGAAAGTCCAGTGCTGGCCAAAGAGCTGGCGATGAAGCCCACAGAAGGGGCACTTGACTTTGTCTCAACTAAGGTAAGTGTTTTGGGAGAAATGGCTGAGGCAGGGGAAATAGTTCTCTCTCGTCCTTAAGTGTGTCCTCTGGGTACACACATTTTCAATGAGAAAACACACAAGGACGGCGCTACGAGAGCTCTGGGTAGAATAGAAGCCGTTGCCACGGGGGTGTGCCACTTTTGAATCTGAGGGTGACTTATGTGTCATCACTTTTGAGGTGTCCGGAGGTCTTCGAGAGGGTGGGTGGCCATTGGAAGGTCCCAGCTGAGACAGCCAGGTGGGATGGGACGGCCGTCCGAAACTCTGGTCTTTTGAGGTTCAAATGTGAATGTAGGTGTGGAGCAGTCTACCTGGGAGCTATAGATTAAAAAGAAGTGCTGCTCTGGCACTCATTCTCTCCACTCTGCCCCCACCCCCGATCCCCTCACCCCCCTCCCCTGCCCCCAGCCCCTAATCTGTTCTTTCCAAAGCATTTGCTTTGAATTAGTGAGGCTGTCCCAGGGCTTTGCCTACTATGAAGCCACAACCACTCAAATTCTTTAATTATGTGCAATTCAGAGTCACACGTCAAGGTCCAGCCTTGATTTTATAACTAAAATACAGATCAGCTGTCTCTCCAGAATTGGTCACAGCCAATGTGCCGTATTTGCCCAATGCCTATTTTGAAGTTTTCTTGTCAGACATTCAGCCTTTGTTCCTCAGTTTCACCACCTGCAAAATGCAAAGTGGGAGCAGATGAAAATGATCTCAAAGTTTTCTCTCATCAGTCGTGCGTTCTCTGAACTCCTTGGCATTTCTTTCCTATTTATTCTCTTTTCCTTTTAAGTAAATATAACTTGGAGTCAAGAAAAGATGATTTCCCTACTGCTTGTTTGTCTCAGAGTTGTAGAAGCATTTTATTTTTGTGAGATTTTCTTTCAATTCTGGTTTACTTAAGATGAACAACCACACTTGGTTATTATTATAATAGTGAGCATTTAAAGTTTTCATACCCTCTCAATAACATAAAAGTCTCATTTACCCAACTCTTTGTCTTTTCTAGATAATACTATCAAACATTTCCACATGAATATCCCACTATTACCACAAAAACATGCCTAAAACCAAACTATTCTAAACATTTGTTCAAAAAAGTAGTTCCTCTCGCCCTAAACTTCCCCTTTTTTTCCAGTCAGCATTACTATAGGTTTCATATTCACACTTGCAAAGTTATTTTGGACTTTTCCCCTTTCTTAAGTCCATCTTCGTCAAGTGTATGCAATCACTCGGTGCTTTTCAGGTCATTATGTCTCACTAAACTGTCCCCTCCTCTCCTCCCTCGCTATTTACTTCAGTAGTTCACGCCTGTTCTGCCATATTGGATGTCAGACTCATTTCCCTGTTCCAGTCCTTCCCCTTGCAAAACCATCCAGTAACCATCACAATATTTATTTTCCTAAAGTAGGATGTTCTCCATGTCACCCTGCATTCAAAACCCTTCACAATTCCCCACTGTATACCTGCCACGCTGAGCTCACTCTCCCGTTCTCTCTCAGTCTCTCGGTCTCTGTCTGTCTCTCTCTCCCCATTTGCAGGTCTCTATGTGATTTGGTCCTACTTGTCCCTGATCCCTATTTTCCACATTTTCCTGGCACTCCGTCTTTATTTACGCTATTCCATTGATACGACCTTCCCCATCTTCTCTGTCAAAATACTACTCCTCTTCATTATCCAGCTTCATTTTTTTGTTCTTTTTGAAGCCCACGGTCATCTGTGCCGTCTTCCCCACCACTTCAACTTAAGGCAACTCTTCTGTCCTCTGAAATTTCATTGCCTTTATTACCCATGGCACATATTTAACTCTCCTCGGTTCTCTTGTCTTCTTAGTTTTCTTTGAACTTTTGTATGTTTTTCTCTCCCCAACTACACAGTAAGGTAACTAAGGGCAGTTATGGGACCGTGTTCACATAACGGGTCCTGATGCTAGAGCGAGACGATGTTCTCATCCTTGCACTGTTACTTACTGGCTGTAATCTTGGTCTGCATTTTCTCATCTGTGAAATGGAAATAGTGATAGTTATTCAATCCTTCGCAGGGGTTTTGTGGGCATTAGATGAAAGAGCACATGCCGAGTGCTTGGAATGGTAAGCATTCACAAAATGTTGGCAATTACAATAATTATCCATGTCTCCTAGCTCCAAAGTACCTAATCTAGTGGCTTGCTCTGTAACCACACTTAATCAATACCGAATGGAATTCGTTTGAGTCAATGAGGGGACTAAGGTAGACTGTGTGGGTGATCTAGTGTGGACTAGGGGAACTCCTGGCATCACTAAAATCATGCCACAGATGCTGTCACTTATTGTCACCCAGCCAGACTCTTTTTAGGTTCCTGCCACTCCCTACTACTGCTCAAGAGACTTTCTGAGGGTTTGGCTCAGTGAACAAGGGATGATTTCCCAGAGCATCCCTCCCTTCCTGCCAATCGAAACTGACCTGGCTGCAGAGAGCAGGTTGCCAGACATACTAAAGGTCTTAAAGGTGATATGGGAAGAGTGGGCCAGAGAGCTCTCATGGCCCCCGAGGAAACCTACCAGGCTGCTAGTTCACTTAACAGGGCCCAAGACTGGCCTGCTGAAGTAGGAAGCAGGCTCAGCGAATGCACCCCTTCGTCTTGCAGCATGAGAATGCCCATGGGCACCAGCCAGCAGGACGCTCACAGTTGGGACCCCCTCATCAATAGCAAAAGAGCTGCAAATACTGGCCAAAGAAGTGGAGACATCTGTGCTGCTCAACTGAGCCATAAAGGCAGACTTTTTTTTTTTTTTAATTTTTTTTAGACAGCTGGAAACTATAAAGCTTTAGCCCCAGTAAGCATTATGGATCTCACTACCATTAAGTAGCCCATGCAAATTCAACAGATCCAGGCTTGACCCATATATGTGCTATTGAAAACAATTCAGAGGTAAGAAATAATTGTATTAAAGGTGAAAAGTGCCATCGAAGGCATGAACTCTGGTGTAGTGAGACAAGTATTTTGGATGCACACAGACCTCTATTCTTCATATTCGAACTGTGTCATTTCAGCAAATTTTTCTAACCTCAATTTGCTGATGGATAAAGGGGATTATAACACCTAGCTCACATGGCTGTGGTGACACATACATGAGATAATGCATTTGAAACAGGCTACCTAGTCTGTGGCACATGCTAGGGGCACAAGCCACCTAAATTCCCTTCCCTTTCACTCCACGAGCAGATGCATCCTGCCCAAGGCTAGGAGTGAGGCACCTGGTGAGAAGTCCACAGGCAGGTGACTACGATTATTTGAGCATTACTGAAATGTTGACCTAAATGGTACCAGGTGTTGGACAATTGACAGAAGGAAGAAAAAAAGGGCTCTCCTCTCTCGGTGCTTTTCACACTTGCAACTCAGTGCAGAGGGCTGTCTCCTCCCAACCTCTAGAAAGAGATCTGGATTTATCCTGGGCTTAACCTCGATTTTGACATGTTGCCATTTCCAATAAGGCCAGTTTCCTTGCCGAAAGAAGTCCTTCCCCCGGGTGAAATCTCAACAGCTTCATTCGTGTAAGTTGCCTTATTGGTCTTCTAATGCGGGTGTGGTTTTTTCCTCACTACAGAATGTGGATAACAAGCAAACAGGCGCGGGAAACTCGCCCTAAGTAGGCACCTTCTCGGTTCCCTAGACTGGCGGGGGAATGGTCCGCCGTTCTTGCCGGGAGGACGAGGTGTTGCCGAGCGGAGAGGCGCCCTCCTGGACGGGGCTGGGGGAGCCGGGACCGGAGGTCGGGGACCCCCGCCTCCCGGGCCCGGCCGGGGAAGGGGTGCGAGGGGAGGAGGCGCGGGAGCCGCGGTGGAGCCCGACAGGTTCCAGCGGCTCCCCTCACCCCTCTCCACGCCTCCCGGGTTTTCCCCTTGGCTCGGGGTTTCCTGTTTCAGTTCTCGGTGATCTCCAGCAGCAGGTGCTGGTTTGCCAACCTCGGCTCCAGAGGAGGCGAAGGAGGAGAAGGGAAAGAGGGAAGGGGAGGAGGAAGCGGCGCAGCGGCTGCGGCTGCGGCTGCGGGCGGGCGGGTGGCCGAGGAGCGAGGCGGCAGGCGGGAGAGCCGGGTTCGCTGTCGCCCGCGGAGCAGCGGCGCGGGCGGCGGGCGAGCCGAGGCCGCGGCGGGCGGGCGGGCAGGCATGGGGGAGCCTCCCGCTCGCCCCGCGCCCTAGCGGCGGCCGCGGCGGCCCAGGGCGGAGGCGAGAGGCGGCCGCCCGCCGCAGGGCCCCGGGGCCGCCCCGGCTTCCAGGGCATGTTGTGATGGCCGCTCAGAGGAGACCGCAAGTAGGTTGAGCAACAATTCCGTGTGCGCGCGCGGCCGGGGCGCGAGTTGTGCAAGCCGGGGGAGGGGGCGCCGGGGCCGCGGCCCGCAGGGAGGGAGGGCGCGCGGGCGGACGCGGCGCCGCGCGGGGAGGGCCGGGCTGGCCGCTGTCGCTGCGGCCGCTCGCCGCTTCCTCGCGGGGTCGGCCATGCCGGGTAGCGGCCCCCAGGTTTGTCCCTCGGGCGGCGGGGGCTGGGAGGGAGGCTGGCCGCGGCCGCGGAGCGGGGGGGGGGGGGGGCCCGGGGGGGGGCGGCGGGGGGGGGGGGGGGGGGGGGGGGCCGGGGGGCCGCGCCCGAGTACCGGGCGGAGAGGCCGGCGGACCGGAGCGGCGGCGTAGGGCGAGCTCCAGGCACCGGGCGGGGCGGGGGGCCCCTCCGCCCCCCGCCCCCGGAGGTCGAAGGAGGGGGGCCCGAGCGCCCGCGGCTCCCGGGGCTCGGGTGGGGCCGAGCGGAGAGCCCGGCTCGCCGTGGCCGCGGGCAGAGCCGTCCTCGCCGGGCTCTCGGGCTAGGGGAGGCCGGCGACCCGGGCCCCGCGGCCTAGGGCAGCGGTCCACTCTCGCCCGCCCCGGGGCACGGCCGCCGAAGATGGAGGCGAGCCCGGGCGCTCCGCACGGAAACGGACCCACAGCGCTGCTCCTGCGGCTCCGGACGCCGCGCGCTCGCGGGTGAGGCGTCCTCCCGCACCTGGGATCCGGCCCCAGCCATTAGCCTTTCATTCCGACCCCCGCGGAAAGCCCTCCGGCGTCCCGGTCCCTCCCGCGCCCCTCACCCCGCAGCCTCGCGCGCACTCCCGGTTCCACCTCGCGTTCGTGGTAGATGGGCTGCTGCTTCCCATGTTCAACCCCCCGCACGGACGTGTTCGGGATCGAACTTGGAGGAGCGAGCCCTGCTCTCCTTCCCCAAACTGTCTGCCCCTTCACCCCTTAAAGCCCTTCAGAAACAGCCTTCGCTTCCAAGTGCTGATTACTCTGACTGGGAGGCTTGCCATTTGGGTAACCGTTAACAATACTGGTCTGTGCTCTGTGTTTGGTGATAAAGAGATGAAATACGAATCCAGATTTAGGGAAAGTTTTCCTATTGGTTGCAAGACTGTGTTGGAGTATCCCCAGGCCGGTGAGGCGCTTATTGATTCAGATTTTTTTTTTTTTTTTAACCATCTTCGAATAGTTACAGAGACGCTTGGAGCTGGTATATTTAGAAAATTGGTAAAGTTCATCAATTCTTTACTCGTTTCCTTGTTTAGTTTTTCTAGAGCATATCATAAACGGAGAGCAGTGGCAATGTCTCAAAACACTTTTGGGGCTTCTCCGGGAACCACAAGAAGTCAGCAATAGAGCGTACTACATATATGTATATAATCTGTGTGTGTGTGTGTGTGTGTGTATTTATTTAATCTGTTTAGGTTGTAGAAGGTATGACTCCCATTTATTTAATTATATGTAAATGAATTTTAATAGCAGTTTCTTTAATTGGTGTCATCCAGTGTTCGGCTATAAACATAGCTTCACCAAATGTTTGTAAAATTATTTTACCATCTTACCTCCATTCACGTGTTTTCTTCCGATTTGGCATTCTTATTTTAAGTTACCCAAACCTGTCTATTTGAAGGTACCCTTAAATATCAGAATGATCTAGTAACCCTCTATCTATAATTCAAGATGGTTGAGTATTTTTAGTTTAAGGATGGGTTTTACTTTCAAAGTACGTTTAAATTCTACCTCAAGCGTCTATTTGGTCATCACTGAAGTACTCAAACGTTACAAGCGAAGTAAAATGAACTTTTTAACAAAACAAAAAGGCCAGTATTTTTTAAATGGCATTTGATAATGAACGTCTAATGAAACTAGTTTTATTATAAAGGAAAATATTGGAGAATAGGAAACAGAAACTTGGAATGTTTGTATGCAGATGGGAGTTTTTATTAGTCACTTCCTTTTACTACATGTTTTAATTACAAGACTAATTAAAAACATCCTATTTTCTGTCACTGGCTTCCCTAGAGCTATCTTCATGGATCACATTTGCCAAATTGGACCTTAGGTGCTTCATGGAAATTCTGTTTTTAAATTATTTTCCTCATTCTACAACTGGATTGCCTTGTTTTCATTCTAGCAGACTGGATGGTTTTTTACATTAATTTTAATTACTGTAACAGATATAAAAGTGTTACCATCATTTTATAACTCTTAGTACCATTTCTGTGCCCTTTTATATCTTCTTATACTCTTTTTGGGCTTTTCCTTGTTTTTGTAGATAAATTTGGAAGAATTTTCTCATGCTGATTTGATAGCAGTTTTAAAGAAACGAATATAAGATAAGTAGGAGACCTTTTTTATCTTTTTAGTTAGAATGGGGGATTGTAAAGTAATCTCCTGTTGCTGCCCACTTGACACTGGTACACTTTTATTCCCTCAGCAGATAATTAATTTAGTATTGATCTAGGTGCTGCATAGGGCTCCTGACCTCTAAAAGAAGAGAGGTTATGAACAGATAGAACATAACGCTAGATGAAATCTACTAAGTGGGACAAGCAAGGAATAAGAAATACGGGGACTGTAGTAGGGAAGCCTGCACGCCAGGTCTGAAAGGTAAGACGCAAGTGGGTAGAGCTGGGGAGGAGTCATTTCCAAGTGAATAATGCTGTGAGTCAAGGAAAGCAGGGAGTGGGTGGGCCAGTGTGTCTGGAACATTAAGTAGGTGATAGAAGTAGTGAGGGATTGAAGTGGCAAAGATGGTTTCAGGATATAGCTTTTATTGGAAGGAGACATATTAAGTGAGAAGGTCAGGGCATCACCAACATGGGTTAAATCAGGTTTCCAAATCCAAACTGAAGTAAAACCAAGTTAAAAATACTGAGATTCTGGGGTCTGATCTCAAATCTGCCAAACGCTGAGAAAACAAAAACAGATACTTGTGTTTTTAAGCACTAACAGTCCCTATGGACCTACAACCTAGAAAATCTCATGACTTAACAAAGCTAGGATTTTTTTTTTTTTAATTTTATTTATTTATTTGACAGAGAGAGAGAGAGAGATCACAAGTAGGCAGAGAGGCAGGCAGAGAGAGGAGGAAGCAGGCTCACTGCTGAGCAAAGAGCCCGATGCGGGGCTCGATCCCAGGACCCTGAGATCATGACCTGAGCCGAAGGCAGAGGCTTAACCCACTGAGCCACCCAGGTGCCCCACAAAGCTAGGATTTTAAGATTCACCAAAAAACATGTTACAATTATTGCTGCTGTTTCGCTAGTGGCAGTTCAGAGAAGTGAATTGAGAATATGATTTTGTACACTGTTTCATCCCAGAATATGTCTCCAGGAGCTCGAAAAAGAAGACTTTATAGGATACTTGAGCTATTTAAATGAGATGGCATGTGACAAGTACACCCTGTCTGGCACATAGTAATTTTGATACTTGATGGCGTAAAGATGATTTTCAAATCTGTAATGTGGAGGTTATCAGTTCCCTGTCTTTGCTTCAGGTTTTTTAGCTGACACAGTGATAGCTATTCTGTGCTGGACACCGAGACCCCAGGCACCGTGCTTATGCACTGCTTTTGTTACCCTCGTTCTATAGATGAGGAAGCCCAGACACAAGAGTTTAAGTAACTTTAAGTTCCACATCTAGAAAGTTGCAGAAGGGAGTTTGAACCTATGCTGTCTGACTTTTAAAACCATGCTCTTACCCCTTGGGCAGGTCTGCTGCCCTGTGATTCAGTTTTTACTCTGTTCCTTGAAACTGTGTCCTTGTGTGTACCCATGTTGACACACATCGTTTGAAAATTAAGAGACGGGGGCGTCTGGGTGGCTCAGTGGGTTAAAGCCTCTGCCTTCGGCTCAGGTCATGATCCCAGGGTCCTGGGATCGAGCCCCACATCGGGCTCTCTGCTCAGCGGGAAGCCTGCTTCCCTTCCTCTCTCTGCCTGCCTCTCTGTCTACTTGTAATATCTGTCTGTCAAATAAATAAATAAAATCTTTAAAAAAAAAAAAATTAAGAGACGCATGATAATTAGCATGATGGGTCTGGAAGATAAAAGATATGTTAACCTTTTCTCTATAAAGTACTCCAGTGACAGGACAACATGAAATCCTGTCTGGCCAAATTGTTTGAAGGCAAGGACCTTGTCTTTCCAGCAGGTTGCTTAGGTCCTTAAAAGATAAGCGCAAAGGCAGTTTTGGTCTGGTATGGCATATGTTAAACAGCAGTGTAGTTCCACCAAAGAGAGCTTTTTTTTGGGGGGGGGAGGTGGATGGAAACCTCAAAGGTTTTTTATGAGTAGTGGTTTTTAGTGATTTTTCCAGCACTTATCTCTGATTGTAGTAATGTAATGTACTTAAATGTGGAGAACTTAGAAAACGAAGAGAAATGTGAACAATTTTTAAAATCCCCGTAACCCCAAGATAACTAACAACATTTTGATGGGTTTCCCTCTTTGATTTTTCTATACATTGGCAAAGGATTGTTTCACTTGGCTTGCAATAGAAGATAATCCCCCGTAAAGGATAGTTTACATGGTTCTATGTCACAACACTAATAGTAATTCTTAATGCTCCGTGAACTAGCCCACAAGCACATGTCTGAAAATAAAAAGTGTTCTGCCTTTAAGGTAATTATCAAATCCCTGAGGGTGGGTAGGGGAAAAGTAGAAAATCCCAGGTTGTCCTGTTTGCTTGGAACATTTTCTCCTATTCCGCTTTACCTTTTGCCTAGCCCACATCCCATAGTGGAGGCCTCAGCTCAGGCCTCACTTAGTTTACTCTTGTACTTTTAAGATTTGTAACAGTAGATAACATTTAATTGTGCCAGTCATTGTTCTGGGTGCCACACATGAATTAATGCGTGTAATGCCTACCACTGCTTCCTTCATGGGAGTGTGTGCATAAAAAGATAGATCTTTTTCTTGTATAATTAGAATGTTACTGTTTATAGAGCCTTGTATCCCCCCTTTCTATCCCCAATTAGCTTACACTAAGGATTTTCTCATGATATTAAAAATATTTCAGGGCGTGAAACCTGGGTGGCTCAGTTGGTAGAGTGTCCAAGTTTTTATTTCAGTTCAGATCATGATCTCACGGTCCTGAGATCAAGCTCTGGGTCCCGGTCTGCGCTCAACGGGGAGCCTGCTTGAGGAGTCTCTCCCTCTGCCCCTCCCCCTGCTCGTATCCTCTCGCTCTCAAATCTTTGAAATGTTTTTTTCTTTATTTTTAATTTTTTTTAACATTTTCTTCCTGAGAACATGTCACTTTATTTAATCATTATTCTATTTCAGTTAGACATCTGGGTCTCCCCCCAATATTTTAACATCATAATACATTAGTTGAATATCCCAGTAAGAAAAAAAAATGTTTTCTGCATATGTGTTCTTAGGATTCACGGACGTCACCATCAAAGAGAATAAGCTTTAAGGTTTTTGATGGCCAAACAGCCTTCCAGAAAAGCCGTATAGATATGTACACTTATTAGCAAAGAGCAGGAGCTAATTTCGTCCCACTTTGAATGTACTGTTGACTTTTTAAATTTCTGACAGTTTGTTAGATGAATATTAATACCTAATTTTAATGCTCACTTTTTTTCTACTTATAATTTAAATTGTTAGAGTAGTACAGGTGGATTTGATTAAGAAAAAGCAAACAGAGAATGAAAGCCGCCTGCAGCCTTACCCAGAAGTAACTAATG